TATACATATATGGATATATACATATATATATATACACAGCAAAAGGATACAGATTAAAATCAGCAAAGAGAAAAAGGAGCAGGGGGTATAATCCAGGAGAAAGCAGCAAGGCTTCCAGTTGTCCTCTCTCAGTGGAGTCATATAGACAGCAGTTAATTCTCCCAAAATGGTGGGTGACAACACATGCAAAGTGTTGCCAACAGGCTACCCAAGACTTGGTGTCCAGGGTTTTTATTGGGGTCAGTCACACAAACATGCTGGACTCACATGCCTGACCTCAGCTACTCAGAGCATAGCTCCCCAGAGGAGAAACTGATACGCATGACCCAGGGCCCCAAGCATATGAAAACAGGCCTTCACCGTAAATCTAACTGTTAGCATAAACTATCTGGTATGGCCCCAGGCCTCAGGCATATTAAGACACTCTTATAAGGCAAGATACTCCACGGGCTCAGAGGTCATCTCCCACGAGCTGGGCCAAGAGCCAATCCCGAAGATTTTGGAAATGTGCAGAGTTTGAGCAGCCCAGACCTGCTGAGTTAACCCTTTCCTGCACAGGCCTACAACAGCTACCTTTCAGGATTATTGTGAGAACTACATGGGGTGGATGGGAAACAGCTTGCAATGCCTGGCCCATAGTAGGTGCTTAATAAATATTGGCTATTATGATTCTAGGGGCAGAGATTTCAAAGGGGCATATGGGCCTAAGAGGAAGAAAAACAGTAAAATGTTATTCTGACAATACAGTAGATATACAGAAGAAAAGGTGTGGCTGGGGACACATTTAAAGAAGCCACAGTAAGAGTAGAGGGGTGTAAGGAAGGTCTCAGGAAGCCATATGCAAACCATGAGGAGTGGGTTGATGCCGGAGGACACTAATCCAAGGATGAATACAAAAGGGTAGCATTTATAAGTGTCAGGGTGGCCAAGGCCCAGCATAACAGGTGGCTTGAGAAATAATCTGATGAAGATTTAAAAGGCCATCTTTAGCCTCATGCAGAGTTTGAAGAGACAAGCGCCTAGTTTAGTGAGGAAAGCTTTGATGTTAATGATGGCAATGAGAAAGCAAAGCTACTCGTCTCCTATAATGTCCCAATCTTCTCTCTGAAGAAATATTGTCCTCAGTTGGGAAGGACTTGTAATTGTGAGAGATTTGAAACCAAGGAGGACGAAAGAGATGTCAGAAAATTGTAAATGAGCAAATGCCCACATTTTTAAAAAATAGGGGAAAAGTAGATTTGGGAAACTATAGAATTGAGATTGATATAAATCCCAGTCAAAATTCTAGAAAAGGCTATTGAAGATAGTTTATGAGCAGTTAGGAAAGAAAGAGATGGTCGCTAGGAGCTTATCTGTGTTCGCTCTGGCTAAGCCTTGTGAAACTGATCGTACTTCCTTTCTTAACCAGGTTATGAGCAGAGAAAATCTGAGGAAATTGATGTATCTTGATTTTGGCCCACACTTTGCTAGACTCTCGGGATATCCTTACGCACAAGCTGAGACATGTGAGTTAGATGACATCTCATTAAATGGATTCTCAGATGCTTGTATCCAAAGATGTAGACTTATCAGTGGGTTCTATGGTACAAAGACTTAGATGAGACTTGACAAATTTGTAAATGGCACAGACAAATAGGTGATTGAATCAAGAATCATAGAGATTTTGGGGGATTTGAGGTAGGTCGCATCAACAAGGTAATACTTTAAAAACACATAGTTCCTGGGCGGAAAGGCTTAGTTGGGAGTGTGAAATGAACAAACATTTGATGTTAACTAAATGTGCATGATATTCTTTCACTCGTTTATTCAAAAAAATATCATGTGGCTGTCACAAAGCAAATTCTTTCTTACTTTGTATGTAAAAGTATAGAGTCCAAATCCAGGACAGTGATGGTGCTGCTGAAACTACAGTGATGAGGGAACATCTGAATGCTCTGTTCAGTTCTGTGAGATGCCTTGAAGAAGAGAATTAAGCATCTAGAAGAGACCATCAGGTCCAAGATGGCTTGAGGCTGGAAGCCATGTGGTGAGAGGAAGAGGACAATCTGCGAAGGCTGATCATCTTGAAGAAAGAAAGACTACGCAGAGATGTGAAACATATCTTTAAATTTGTTAAGGGCTATTATTTGGATGCTTTTAGAGACTCCTACTCTACTCCTTAGGCATTAATAGCTATGCCTTATGCATTAATATGATTGATATAATTAGCTATGCATTAATAGGATTAATAGCTATAAGTCATGGGAAACGGGGTTTCAGCCAATCTCTTACAGTGTGTCAGCTCCTTTACCAGACCCTAGACATGTAAAGATGAATAGGAAAAGATTGCTTTCCTGCAGAGTTAACAATCTGTAAATTCATATTCCGTACAGAGAAGTGGCTTGATAGGCGATGGTTGTTCCAACAGTGAGACTGCTTAGAGAACCAGATGCTTCTTAATGCACTGAGCTCCCATCTCTGGAATATAAAAGCAAAGACATTAAACTTCTGTTTGAGGGTCTGAGGCTGGGCTGATGGCATCTGGACCTAGATGTTGTGTTCTAGTAGCCACCAAGAACCAGGACACATTTACCAGGACATCAAAGAGGATAGGACAAACCTACAGAGAGTCTGAACTGTGTTTGAGGAGAAAAGCAAAAGTCCAAAGCCAGAAAAGTGGCCCTGAGCATCAGGTACACAAGAGCCACAGACTGGCAACAGGAAGACCACTCCGGAGTCAAGAGAAGGGAAGAGCAGGCATAGTCAGGAAGCATGATATGAGACGGGTGAAAGCCAGCAGTCTGGAATGAAGCCTGGGAATGGTGTCAGCAGTCAGGGGATTGTTAGGAGCTCTGTGGGAGCAAGTGGGCTTGGGCTTGAGTCAGGTAGGACTGGACTAGAGGTTGAATGTCTGTCAGGTGTATTAGAGATGGGATTTGTGCCAGATAGCCTCTATCTGCCTCTCCAGCTCTACTCTCCACCCTTCTCTACCCTGCTCTAAGTCCGAGAAGTTGACCTACACGACTTGCATCAGTGGAATCCTTGCCCTCTGGATCCAGTTAGGTTCTAGGAACAAGATGCTCCAGATAGAGATTTGAGAGGGGGAGGAGAATGAGCTTGGCATACCCCTGCCCCTGCCTCCCTCACTATGGGGTCACCTTGGGATTTCTGCATTCCTACGCTGAAGGCCACAGCTCCTCTTAAGGTGTCCCTGTCTACATAGCTCTCTCTTCCAGGATCCGGTAGCCGCTCCCTGCCCTCCTTTCTTGAAACCTAGAGGTGGTAACAGCTCTGGAGATACTAGCTCCAGGGTACTGCATTATTCCTGTGGCTCTCCTACTTCTTGCCCACACCTTTATACAAAAACTATTAGACTTTTCTTGAATCATCCTAATATGACTGTGTCATCTATTTCTTGGTTGAAACTTGGCTGACATGGGATTCTGGATTGAGTGAGAAGATGAACTAGATTAGTTCAAAAAATGCTTGTATTTCTATGGCTCTAGATTTCTTATCATATCACTGACCTTATATTTTCATATACCCCAAAATGATGAGATTTAACTTCCTGCACCTAGGAATTGACAGTAAGTATTTTTGTAGTGGATATGAAGTTCACTGCAAGACTTGTGATCCAGTTTAGCCATATAATCTACACAATTTATTATTTTTATAAGAATTCATGTTTTCAGGATGTATTACAGTATTTTTCAGTTGCTCTCACTGTGTCTGTAGGGTCAGCTAACATCTTTACTGCTGTTATATAAAAGAGCTAAAGGAAGCTTACATTGGCCATGGAACTACTCCCCAGAATTTTGGCAAGTTCATAAAAGAGTCATAATTAATCTTAAATATCTCTCATAGACAAGCTGCTAAGCCATACTGTGACCCTTTCTGGAAGACCAAGAAATTGAGGTTCTTCATAATGATGCTATTTCAAAGATGTCCCAGAATCTCAGCAAAAGAAGGAAGAGTCTATATTAGCTACATGACTGTGAACTGTGTGGTTTCTGAGTCTGACCATCCACAGAAGACACATTGTCTTCTGATGTGAAGGTCATCTCCTTTTGACTCTAAAGAAGAGGGTTTTGTTGTTGTTGCTTGGATTGACTTTGAGATTATCTTATAAAGATTCATTATCTGTTAGAGATATACAGTGAAATACTCATGGGTGAAATGATATGACTGAAGCTTGCTCCACAATCATCCAGAAAGTGGGGAACAGGTGGGAGGAGAGATAAAACAAGATTGGCCGTGAGTGGATAGCTATTGAAAGTGGTGTGGAGACACACTATACTATACTATTACTGTGTACTTTATACTGTACCACTACACTATTCTCTCTACTTTTGTGTAATTTTGGAATTATTGAATATTAAAAGCTAAATAAATAGTTAACTTAAAAGTTATTTGTTGATACAGGAAAACTCATTTGTTTTTGCTTGATGCCACTGATGTCATGAAGGAGTTCTGGGCGTAGGTTTCAGAAACATAAGAGGAAAGAGTATTGAAACAAAATGTAAATGAGGAATGCTATTTTTATGAAAGTTTAATCAAACCATGTTCAATGGAAAATATCGAGATGATATTGTTCAGAATGTGCATTTAGAGTATTCTTTCATGACTTAAGAAGGAAAGCAAACAAATTTAAGTTTTAAAATATATTATGAGTGGACTTTGCTTCTAAATAATCTGGAGTGAGAGAGAACTGGGTGAGGTTCCAGAGGAAACAAGACTGGTCATAAGTTAATATTTGTTGAGTTTGGGGGATGGAGACGTGGAAGTTGGGTATACTATTCTTTTTTACTTTCATATATGCTTTAAATTTTCCACAGAACTGATTTTTAAAAATAAATACTGGAAAAATGGTCCAAAATGTGACCATTTTATATTAAGGAAGTATTAATTTTCATTATTTTATGCAATGTAATATTATGCTATTTCTCTTTCACCTTCTTGGGTTCTACATTTTCTAATATATTACTATTTGTCTGTTTTTCTCCTCTTCCCCCACCCCTTAGTTTTGTCTGTTATATGGAACCAGGCTGGTGTTCCAGGAGCGAGCCTGGTATCTGGAACATAAATATTTGACTCCCAGAGCCAGCATGAGGATCAGGACTCAGGTAAGAGTCCCTGGTGTACGCAAGAAACTCTTGTGCTTCAGCCATCAGGTCTTTGCTTTCTTAGAAAACAGTCCTGCCAATCTTTTATCGGTTTCCACTCATGGATTTTTATGCCTCTGGGACTTCACATACGTGTTTTCATTGCCCGCCATGATCATATTACACTTTGGAGTTTAAGTGACAAGGAAATGATTCACTGTGCACGAACTTTCTGACGTGAAGAGGAGAGGAGAGAAGCCAAAGTGTTTTCCTTGTCTCGGCCAAAAAAAAAAACAGTATTCAGTGATTTTCATTTTCTTTCTTCTTACCAAAACCTGTTAACTCCTTCTTCGTATTCAGAAACATCTGTGCTATTTTTATGTCAGTGGTAGCAATGGTAATTCAGTATGACAGCGAGAAAGTGCCTGAAAACAAAGGTGAATTCAGCGAATCACCACAAAAATGCTGCTCTAAAGAAAGACTATCAACAGCATAATCATCTATAAAACCCGTTTTCTGAGGACCTCCTGTCTTCTAGGCCTTCCGGTAGATGCTGAAATACCAACAGGTATATGCTCAGGCTCTGCCTTCAAGGCACCTCGTTATATCTGGGGACACAAAACTGACTTTAGAAACACAAATAACAACACAAGGGAGCGGAGGCCTTTCAGTGAACTTGGCCACAAGAATAAGTTCAGAGTTCAGAGGACAGAGGTCACTTAAGAGTGAATGTCATTCTTGTGCTAGACCTTGAAGAGGGGAAAATTCAAAGTCGGGGTAGTGGTTCAATTGAGGAGGGGGAAGTGCACTTGAGTCTTTAGACGGGGTTGATGAAGAGAGCAAAATCAGAGGAATGGGAGTACCAGGACAGACATGTTAAAAAACAGTGACAAGACCAGTTTGGCTGAAGCCCCAAGTGATAGAAAAACCTGGAGAAGTCTGCAAGAGCAAGACTATAGTAGACCCTGAAGAACTGTGAAGAGTCTTTTTCCTTTTCAGAGGAACAGCAGCAGTTATGAGGAAAAGCATATGTAAAGATGTTTCAGTTATCTATTGCTGTGTAACAAATGACCCCAAAACTTAGTGGCTTAACACGACAACCATTTATTATTTCTCATGATTTTGCAGTTAGAACAGGGCTCAGCTAGATGGTTCTTCTGCTCCACGTGGTGTCTGCTGGCTACATGCTCAAGATGGCTTCTTCACTCTCATGGCTGATGCCTCAGCTGGGATGGCAGGAACAGCTGGGGGCTGCTGGGCAACCGTGTCTTTATGTCTCTTTATTTATTAAGGCCTGGTGTGGTCTTCTTCAAAGCATGGTAGTCTGAGGGTGGCCGAATGTTTTACGTGATGGCTGGCTTCCAAAGAGAAAGTAGAAGGTGCCAGTCATCTTAAAGGTTAGGCACAGAACTAACAGAGTGTTACTTCAGCTGCATTCTCTTGGCCAGAGGAAATCACCAGGCCAGCACAGATTTGGGCTTAAGCGGAGGCTTCATCTCTCCCTACGAGGAGCAGAATGTACATACAGGGAAGGAAAGGATTGATGGCAGCTATCTTTGGAGAGTATTTTCCACAAAGAAAATGTCCACTTTGGAGAGAGAGGAGGAGAATATTTTTTAATTAAAACAAAAAAACTACATGAGGGAGGATTTTAAATCCATATGACCAGGTATTTAAATGACATAGAACTAGGTAAATAATACATCAGAAGAATGTTGAGTAAAAGAAACCAATTTTCACGTAAACCATTGAGGTGCTTTTGTGTTCTTCTAGTACAACATGCTTTCCACACTTTTCATTTACTGGATTCTCAGAGCAGCCTGGGCAATAGCAGGGAGCAGCCAGCCACTTTGGAACAAGCTTTATCTATGGGGCTAGATCTGGGTTGCTCAGGCCTGCAGGACATCTCAAGGCCCTTTTGCAGATCTCTGAGCCCAGCCATGAACACTCACCCCTTCTCTGGAGTTCCCAGAGGTAAGAGGGTGGTGGAGCAGGCACAGATGCTTCCTTTCCCACTTCTGTGTCACTTCTTTGTGGAGATCTCAAGGCTTCAGAAATATTATTAGCAGCGTCTCTTCACTAAAATGTCTGGGACCCTTGGCCAATTGGAGGTGCTAAATAGGAGTGTGTTTGTGAAGGATTGAAAAGGGGACTGTGATGATTGATATGACTAAAACTGATCTAGATACTGTCACATGATAACTCTTCAAGTTTACTGATTCTTTCTTTAGGTGCATCAAATGTGCTGGTTAACTCATCCTATAAATTTTTAACCTAACTTGTTAGATTTTTATTTTTAAAATTGTTTTTAAAAAAAATTTTTTTTTAAAGATTGGCACCTGAGCTAACAACTGTTGCCAATCCTTTTTTTTTCTGCTTTTTCTCCCCAAACCTCCCCAGTACATAGTTGTATATTTTAGTTGTGAGTCCTTCTAGTTGTGGCATGTGGGACGCCGCCTCAACATGGCCTTGTGAGCAGTGCCATGTCTGCACTCAGGATCCGAACCAGCGAAACCCTGGGCCACTGAAGTGGAGTGCTTGAACTTAACCACTTGGCCATGGGGCTGGCCCCTAAAAATTCTTTTTTCTTTTCTTTTTTATATCACCCTTGTCAGTTTTTAGTTTCCTATTCCTCAAAGGTATATTCAGTATTGTCTTTTATTTCTTTATGCATTGAAGCATAGTTGTTTTATAGTCTATAGCTAATAATTCCAAATCTTAAGTCTTTACAGGTTTATTTCTTTTTGTCTGTTGTTTCTATTCTGTGTCTAGTTATCTTTTCATGTGTGCTGGTCATTGTTATTAAAAAATGATTTGAAAGACTTATATGAAGGCCAAATTGAAGGTACCGTCTGCTTCCCCTTACTAGGCATCGGAAGGTACTCTGAGACCCACCTTAACTAAATTCAAGGCTTGAGGTTTCCTAGAAGACTCAGAGAGTTCAAATAAGGGCAAAAATTTCTTTACCCTCCCAGAGGGTTATAGCTGTTCGGCATCCAGCTTATTTTAGCAAGGGTCTCCCATTAAATTTCTTGCCTAGTGCTTGCCCAGGTTTTGACTATCATCCTTTCCTACCTCCACCCCAGGCACCATGAGGTTGTCAAAGTGAAAATTTAGGTTTGCTGGAAATGGCAATTGCCTTGTATTTCTTTTGGTTCCCATTCTCCTGTAATTTTTGGCATATTTTGTCATGTTATTGGTGCTTTGAAGATGTTTCCAATATTTTCTCTAAGAATTCTGGTTGTTTTCAGTAGGAAGGTTGGTCAGTATCAGAAGCAGAAAGTTCTTTCAATGTTATACACTTGACCCCACAGTAGCCCTTTGAGTGGCCTTCATTATCCTTACACATAGATGAGGAAAATGAGACCCGGCATGGCAAGGTAACTTGCCCAAAGTAACATAGCTAGTCAAAACTCATCTCTCTCTGACTCTAAACGTTTCCGTTTATTTTATTTGGATAAAAATCAGCATCAGCTAGTAACAACAAGGACACTCAGTGGTCAGTTCTTGGTTTCTTATATGATTCTCCAATAAAAGGAACCAGGGTCTTTGGAGAAATGGCTGATTCTAGGGCTGGGGCAATGAATATATAAGATGGGCCTGGAGCATCTTCCAGTGCCAGAAAGTAAGAACCTGCTTAAAATGAAAACAAAAATCCAGACCCCCACAATTGTGGGGTTATGTCAGAGGGATACTGGAAGGAGCTAACTGAAAGAGCTCCCAGTGGCCAAGGCTGGAACAATTTGAGAAAGAAAGTAAATAACATAGTATTGGATTATAACCCAAAGTATAAAATAATTAAACACAAGTCCATAATGATATAAGTAAGTGGTTAAACAGATAAATAAAAGGAGTAAAAGAGACAAGTCCTCCTTACAGAAGATTTCCAACTAATATATGTAGATATGCACCCTTCAGGAAGTGAAACTTAATTCCCTTTCCCTTGAGTGTGGATTGGACTGAGTGATTTTCTTTTATTGTAAAGAATGGAGTGTTGACAGGGAAAAGAGTTACCATGCGGTGGAAAAATCTGGCAGATCCCACCTTAACCAAGTGATTAAGGTTAATATCACCAGTAATAAGTCGTGCTGATCACAGGTACCTCTGATATTATGTGATGAGAAGAGCATTTCACTCTTCCCCAAAACCCATAACCCCAGTGCCATCATGAGGAAAAGTGTCAGACAGAACCAAATTAAGGATGCTCTACACAATGCGTCACCAGCACTCCTCAAGCTGTCAACACATGAAAGACAAAGAAACACAGGCTAGAGGGGACTAAGGAGACATAATGGCTAAATGCTATGTGGCATCCTGGATGGAGTCCTGGAAGAGAAAAGGATGTTAGTAGGAAAACTGGTGAAGTCTGGATAGAGTTTGTAGTTTGTTAATATTGACGTACCAATATTGGCTTCTTAATTTTTACAATGGACTATTGTTATGTAAGATGGTAACATTAGGAGAAACTGGGTGAAGGGCATATGGGAAGTCTCTGTACTATCTTTGGATCCTTTCTGTAAATTTAGACTATTCCAAAATAAAAGTCTGCATCAGGGAATAGCAATCAGCCTGGCCTGATTCTAAAGAATAAGACTTTTCACCCAGGAGTTACACTGAAGCTCCAATCTAATAATAATTGGCAATGCATTTATTCATACTAAAAGGAAAAAAAAAATCTCATTTCATTCTCATAAAAGTCTTCCAGGTAAGTAAGGCTCATGTAGTCCCCATTCAACAAATGAGTAAAACCAAGAAACAGAGAAGTTTAACCACTGCCCAAGATTCTGGCTAAGCACAGAACCCAGAACTCCTAATCCCACATGGAAGTGGATTAAGCATGAGGCATCACCCATCTGTAGCCCCGTTGGCCACACAGAGCACTACAGAGCCCCACAAGAGGAGGTTCAAACGCTTCCCAGAGGCCTGCCTGATGTCCCGGAGTAGGGAAAGTCCATCCACGTGCTCCCAAAGCAGCTCAAGTGCCCCGTGTCCAACTGAGGCCCACATGAGAGGGGGTTGGG